GTCTTGCCTCTAATACACAGTTTTTCTGTATAAGTTCCAATGACAAGAAGATTAAATTCTTTGATATTTTAGTTCATAAAACGTAACTGCATTTTTACCTTGACTAGTAACTTGCTACTTTGATTTTGCTATAAATAATAACGGTGGCAACAGTGGCAGGAGTTCGTCTTGCAAACAGAGGGTTGTTGGTTCATACTTTCAGTGTTGTTGTATCCTTGGGCAAGTCACTTCACCTGCATTGCCTACCTCTGAAGGTCAGAGGCCCTGGTGGCACCAGCGTACGGCAGCCTCACTTCTGTCAGTGAGCCTCAGGGCTGCTGTGACTACAGTGTAGCTCTCTACCATCAGTGTGTGTGTGAATGGGTGAATGATTGAATGTGGCGTTTGGTTAAGTCTCCTGACTTGAAAAAGCTTTCTATAAGTACAGTCCATTTTCCATTTACCAAGATGTGATTTACTTTTATTGAGAAGTAACTTTAACTTGATACTTTTTGAAGTAATGCTCCCAACTCTGATATTGACTGATAGATACAACAGCATGGATGATCATCTGTCTTAAAATATATTATATCTTGTCAATTTAAATACAACTAATTATAAATCAAAGACAAAAATCCAAATACATGTGATATACTGATATATTTGGGGGAATATATTTTACTGCATAATAACCGCAAAATAAAGACACTAATTTAAACCAGAGTACCCAGAGAGAACCCATGCATTCACCGGGAGAACAGGCAAACTCATCACATAATCCTGCGTGCTGGGATTCACATCCCATGAGCTTCTTGCTGCAGGGGAAAAATTAATGTTTCCAAGTGCAACTTCAGCCACCAGGCGGCGCTTTGTCACCACCAAGCCACTTGTTGACTGCGTAAACTTTGCCCTGAGGTTTAACAAAATCAAACCAATCGAACATAATAAGTTAAACAGCAACATAAATCTCTTTAGGGAACACTGAGTGCGGATAAAACCTTATCATAGCTCCCTCCCNAAAATCAAACCAATCGAACATAATAAGTTAAACAGCAACATAAATCTCTTTAGGGAACACTGAGTGCGGATAAAACCTTATCATAGCTCCCTCCCAGATAAATAATCCACCTCTGCACACAATCCCACTCAGAAAGGAGGCTGTGTTCCCACATAACATTTGGAGGAGACACACCCTCAGATCTGCTGAGCGACAGGAGGAGAGCTTCTGCCTGAGGAGTTGATGGGATGCAGAGAGGAGCCACACAGTGAGCTTTAACCCTGCATCACAGAGCAACAGGATGGAGACATGATGGGGACAATTTAGGTAAGTAAACACCTCTCTGAAGGCTTACAGAAACGGTTACATTTAATGGGATTTTACTTTGTTTTTCTTTTGCACCTGTTTCAACACTTTACAACTTGGTTTATGTTTATTTACCATGTAAACTATAGATTGGCTGATATAAGCAAACTAGAGAACTGACACCAACTCTTAGTAGGAGTTTTATGAGTAAATGAAACCTGTTCAAAACTAAGTTTATTTCCATTTGTCTTAACTTATAATATGTGTTTATATAAAATGTGTGCCTTGAATTAAAACATTATAATCAGGTTAAAAGAACAGGAGATGTGCGTCATGGATCCTCAGCTGCAGCCTTGATTCTTCATCAGATACTTCCTGATGAAAGGAAGCATTAAACCGTTATTTCAGAGAAGGCTTGGCTGCCAAAGAGGAAGCACCAGCTCACATTGTTAGAGAGTGAGATCATTCACAGTCTCTAGATCTAAATCTTCTTTCTCTCTCTAAAACACTTTCAAAAGGTCAGTCAGTACTGTATATTTCTGCTCTGTGTAGTGCAGTCAGCTCATATTTTTGTGTTTTTGCTGTTTCCATTTAATGTTTTATACACAGAGCTCTAGATACAGCTCCAACCTTTAATCCACTTATCTGAATTCTCCGTTATCTTTACCTAAGAATGCAAAGACTCTTGTTCTGGTTTAAAACTTGCTCAGAAATAGCTGTGAACATTTGAACCAAAGCTTCCAAATTTAAGCAAATAACCAGGCGACCAGATCTCAACTTGTTTCCTGTTCTTTTTGTTTCAAACTGATGCAGCTTCTGTGGATGGCTATCAGTTGAAACAAAAGACCCGTACATAGCCTAACAGCATGCAAATAACCACACAGGTAACATTCAGGATGCTATATGTAGACACAGAGCACCCCATGGGTTGGATTCAAATAATAAAATCCTCAGAAATATGCAGAGGAAAAGGATCTGCATGGCCCTGAATTTGAATAAAACCATGTTGAGCCCACTGTGATCTTTTTTCACAGTTAAAAAACAAGTGGTTGTCAGATAGAAAAAAAGAACCTGCGATCTGGACTTTGGTTAAGTTGCAGGGTACCAGACTGGACTAGAGACTCCAGTTTCAGTCAAAATGTTTCAAGAGCCCATGCCAGATTTAAATTATCAATATATTAGGGCTTTGGCTCTCGCTTTTACTGCTCTTTATGGGTAAATAGGATTAAAAAAAACCATATAAGAATGTTATTTCTGAAACCCTCTGATTTTGTGTAAATAACATACCACTTGACAGCTTTAAATGTAAAGCAATCTGAGGACACCCAAAATCATTTTTCATTTTTCTATGGTGGTTTCTAATCTTCTTCTTAAGTTTTTTTTCCTTTTCAATGGGGCTGTGTTATCTAAGGCAGTATGCAGAGAACTAGCAACCCCATCAACAAAATCCTCAACCTGTGAAGGGGAATAAACTAAACTTTTGCTCTCTGCAGCACGTTATTTCTTCACATTCTATGCCGTATGTCAGCACAAGGTCTAAAGTATGAAGATGTGAATGTGTGGGAATATTCACATTTTGAACAAAGCCAATAGTGTCTAAGATAGCATTAGAGGTTGCTCTTAAGCTATCACCTTCAATGTCAGAATGGATGTTAAAATCCCCCACTATGATGACCCTGTCAGTATTCAATAACCAAATCAGATAGAAATTCTGTCTAAGAGTCACAGTAAGGACCTAGTGGAGGATTCGAAGTTACAAAAAGAAGAGTTTTTCTTGCTTTGCAAGTTGGATAAGGAATACTAAGGGTTAAATGTTCTATTGAGGATTTCACATGGTTTTCTCAAAAAATCTCTTATAACCAAGTCAGTTAAACTGTGTTTTCTAGAGAACTCACATTTTGTCGTTCAACAACATAAAAACTATTTTTGTTTTCTATTGTTGGTGTATGCCTCGCCCAAAGTTTTGCCTTTCTAGTATTTAACTCCATCCTGACCCTCCCAGTTAATTCTGACCTGCTGTATCTGTATCTGTGTTCCTCTGTCTTTATTGAAGCTGACTACAAAAGGGAAATAGTTATACTTGATTTTCTATAATGTCAAAGGTTCCTTAGAAATCTCGTGACAAGGTACAGAGATTACAGGCCAAGTTTGAACATTTCCATTTGTTTCTTGATGGTCCATCATATACAATCAATTTTAAAACAACTTTAGTTTTTATTACAAAATCAGGAAATGAAATAATAGTCTTTATTTAATGATCTTCTGCAATTGTCCCAACTATGCAAATTCAGTTAATCCAGCAAGAGGAGCTAGATAGCTTTCCTCAAGATGATCTAATGAACATGAATTTTTAGACTGGCTGTGTCTTGATTCTTGTTGATGTTTTAGTGGTGTTTCCAAAAATCAGCTAAGAACCGATTTGTTTTACAAAAGTTTGATCAAACTGTCATCTCTTTTATCACTTTAAAGGCCCTTTTTTTGTTTTAACCTCTTTCTGCTGTATTTTTACTTTCATTAAAAGGTATACAAAGTGTTTCATCTACCAGTGATTACTTGCTGACTTTTTAAAGTCATTAGGAAAGCTTTTACCCTGTTTTTTGTCAATAAAATAAATAAATAAATAAATAAATAAATAAATAAATAAATAAATAAATAACAAAAAAGAAGAGTAAAGTTGATCTGGCACAATGATATGCTCTGAGGTTGGGTCGACTCAAACTGAGCTCAATGAGGGAATGAAGTGAATCTTACTAACATCCAGACAAGAACTTCTAAATCTGCTACATCAGATGTTTGCAAGGTCGGCCAGTTCAGCCTGTATGTTGTCTACAGCTGGACCAATAAACCCAAGACTCCCTGCAGATGTACTCAGCAAATAATTAACTGGAGACTGCAGCAAGAAACATTGATTTAGGTTTGTTTAAAAACAGATACAGAAAGCACACAGAGTTTTTCTGCATGGGCCCTCACTTCCTGCCTTTGTTTAAGGGTCTCACTGGACCTGCTGGTATTCTCAGAAATAGCCCATTCTGGGCTTTTTTATGTTGCCTCTTTTTGATTTGTTTCGCTTTGGAAAGGTTGTGGGAGACGGAATGACTTTAAGATATACTTTTATTTATAGCTCATGCAGACAACATAGCTGACTTTTGAAATAAAGAAAAGAGCAATATATTATCCATTATTTGTCAACAGTATTATTATCTTATGTTATTTGTTCAAAGATGCCCATTGGCTCTTGCAAGAGCAGCATTTTAAAACAATGCTGTTATAAGCACTGTAATTACAAGAACAACAAACCAGTATTATTTGGGGTTTGCTCAAAGTAACATTATGACACTTTTTTAGTTTGCTGGTGCCATAATCTTAGTTTTTTTGCAAAACTCTTTATATTTATGTTGATTTAAACAAAGAAAAAGAAAAAGAGAAACATGGGGGTAGCTTTTGGTATAGTACATCAGAATTTGTTTTTTTCTTGATTCTCCTCTGAAACGTAAAGTGTATTTTTTCAGAAACAAATGTAAGCATACAATAACAACAGAAGACTATTGTTAATATCAGTCCAAACCTATAAAAAGGGGACAGAAAGACAAAATGTTGAATATACACTAAATTAGAGTTCAATTACGTTTATTTATATTGCTCCAATTCACTCCCCATGTCATCTCGAGGTATTTTACAGAAACAATGCCATCAGCTATCAGTTAGTTATGTCCAGTTTAAAAACATGGAGGCATGTTTGTGGAGAAACATGCATCATTTCTACTACTTCACAATTACTTTAAGCTGATCTAGTGACTTAGATCTCAATAAAATACATTGAAGTTAGAGGTCAAAATGTGACAAATGGAACAAAAATAATAGATGCCGTATTTCTTTTAATACTGCAGTATAATTCAGTGTACATGCAGACCCATCACTGGTTTAGAAATGATTTGATTTAAAAGGTGGAACGAGAAGAACATGGTATGATAGAAAGACATCAGGTCTTGATTCTGTCTCCTTGAACCCCAGTCGGCCTCAGCAGATGGCTGCTCACACTGAGCCTGGTTCTGCTGGAGGTTTCTTCCTGTTAAAAGGGAGTTTTAACAGGAAGTGATATGTGTACATATGTCATTACAAAGGTAGCGGTTTTAAATCCCAGTGGTGTTAAACCAAACTGTGCAGTGCTGTTACACAGTTTTCACTCTCGTAGATATTCTTTCTCCTTTTGTTTACTATGAGAAAACGATAAACTGACTGGATATACTAGTATTATTTACAAAGAAAACAAAAAACAAAACATGGTCCAACAGCATTCACTGACAGAATGTTTCACACCACCTTGGAGGAATATGGCCCCCTGTTTATAGCAGAATGATCTTTTTCAGCCACTACTAATTGCAGGTCCAGTTGCAACAAATCATGCTAAGACCATCACAGTACCGCCACCATGCTCAGCTGAATGATGTTCTCTGGGTAAGTTTTATGACAGATGTCTTTATGGGCCAAAGAATATCAGGAAAAGTTAGACAGGGACTTGTTTTCTTTGAGGTCAGCTCCTGTTTTGACCTTTGAATTCCGCGATAGATGCTGTTCTTGCCAAGTCTCTAGCCCAATCCCAAACCGGCCCCTAAACACTAACCCTGAGCAGTAACCCTCTGTTTGCCCACAGAGGGTCTGCCACATCAAGGGCCGTCCCAATCCACATAACTGGTAGGGCAAGTGGACCATTCAGTCTGCATCAGTGCAGTCTCACTGGGATTTGGCGAAATAATGGCAATCAATTCAGTTTATTTATATAGCACCAAGTCTCAACACATCATCTCAAGGCACTTTACAGTTCACCAGGTCATACAGTCAAATTGATTGAAAGTTTTATATTTAAGGAAACCTCACACTGAGCATGCTTGTAGCGACAGTGGAGAGGAAAAACTCCCTTTTAACAGGAAGGAACCTCCTACAACACCAGACGCCAGAGCAAAACATTGGCATTTAACTGTAAGTTCCGCGGGTTTGCGTCATCTTTGTCACATCAACAGAAAAAAACAAGTTAGGAAAAGAAAACAAGACGTTATTGATTCCAGAAAGAAGGTCCTCCCTTCAATCAAGGTGCCCATTACAGCTGTGTGTGACGTCATTGGGAGTGACACTCGAGAGCTAAGGGGTGGTGCTTCTGTTTCTCACTGTTAATTACTGACCTGAACTGAGACAAGTGAAGACTTTTGCGCTTCAGATTTAGTTTTAAGTAGCATTTTTTTCCTCAACCCTCTGGATAAGTCATTGCTGTGCTCTTGAAGTGATTTTGGTTGGCTGGCCACTCACCCTGTATTTATAGATAAAGCCTCCCACTGTAACCCTTTCCTCAGTGACAGAAGCCAGTTACTGTGTATCTCATCTATCCTTTACTTTCTTTAGACCAGAACAGAATGAGTACTCATTTGAAATATTCAGCCCACGTTGTCAGACACCTATTCAAGAGTCGTCCTTATCCTGCCTGTCAGAAAGTAAGCAGCCCTTTGCTACGTGGGTGACAATGAATTAATAAAATTAGGTTAATCCCTTTTAATAAATTCAATTAATCAGTCTATTATTTATGTGTATAAATTCATTGACTGATTCACAGCAATATTTAGCAAAATGCTTAAATTAATTAAGATAGAAAGGTAACATAAGAATGCAGATTATAGACGGGGTAAATAAAACCAGAGGTGTCCTTGCATTTAAAAATGTAAGCAGCCTTCCTTAACAAGAGTTTTGAGCTTTGATTATAAATACCTAATTCAGTTGTAGATCTCAGATTTAGAGGAATCTGAATTCAGCATCAAGATCCAAGAGTAAATCGTTGTCTGAACCTGACGACATCGTGCAAATAGAAAGGCTCAATGTCTCTAATGAATAACAGAAGACATGGCTATTGTTTTCTAACAGGGGGGAAGAGTTTCATTTTCATATATTTTCAGGTTTGTTTGTCTAACTTTTTTATTCCTTTAAAAAAATTAAATCATCATGTTAAGAATTTTTTTCAACACAGATTGACGGTGCAGCTATCATGGGGTCCTCAGTTGGCGCACAGTCCTTTGATCATTGTTTAAGCTAACCTGTTTCCCCACTTTAAAGTGGTTTTACTCTGGATTAGCTGCAAATTTGAGTATTAGCTTCAAGCATTTCACTTACTGCATATATGTTTGGGTAAAACTGTTGATCCCATGAAGCTCCTGTCTTCAGACCGGCTGACATCATCAACGTTAAAAACAAACAAGCACCCTTTTCTGCATCCTGTTTGTTTCACGTGTCGGTCATTGAGGAATGGCAGGCCTTGTTTACGTTCACCACATGTGCTGCATTTAGGCTGAGGCAGCCCCACTGTACGCCGGCATTTCAGGAGGTGACTAGTAATTACTTTATTTGTGTCTTGAAAACATCAGTTCCTCCCAATTTCTTTTCATCTGTTTCCCAAAACAGAAATTAAATATAGGTGATAGACGTGACAAAAATAGAATTTTCAGTGTCAGGTTTTGGATATTTAACTAAATAAACTGCTTTCCTTGGTATTTAATTTAATTATGAAAGAAAAATATACCTCGTTACCTACCCTGTAAAATTGACTTGAATTAACAAAATTGTGACAACAGCTTAATTTTGGTTGAAATTCATATACAGATTTTTACAAAAATATGAAGCATTATTTCATTTATTTATAATATTATGATTTATATCCAAAGAAATTCACACCTCAGTTTCACCAAAATGTAAATCTCACCTAAAACCAATAAAAATAATTTTTCATTCAGAAATATTCTTTTGTGGGGTATATAATCATGGGGAAGACTGCCGGCTTAATGGTTATGCAGCACACAGTCAGAGGGTAATCCCAAATAGATAATAACCAAAGACACTAGGGGTGTGAAAAATAATCGTCATGATGATGCATCGTGATTCTAATTTTCGTGATCTACTGCATCGATTCTTGACACCAAGTATTGATTATTAATTTAAAAAATGAATAAATAAAATTGCATGAATGGTTGGCGAACATCAGCCAAAAAAAAAGTGTAATACAACTTCCAGTCCAGTAGATGTTGCTACGGATGTGTTGACGCACGCTGCCTTCTTTCACAAGCATTTCCGGCCGCGGGATACTGCGACAAGTCATTCAAAAACAAAACATGGAGGAGATTGAGAAACTTCGTCCGGCTCCATCACATTTCAAATCCGATGTTTGGAAGCATTTTGGTTTCAAAAACAAAGGTAAAAATGCAGTTGATATGATGCACGCAATTTGCAAACACTGCTACACCAGAATTAAATACTGTAGGAACACAAATATTGCAATGCATCGCAATAATTCAAGTATCGTGATGCATCGTGATAGAATCGCATCGTGACTTCTTTGGCAACACCCACCCCTAAAAGACACTATCTCTTCTCTATCAAAGAATACCTAAGGAAAGTTGAGTGGAAGGAAAAAGGGTCCCAGAAAACGGTGCACAAGCAACAGGACTTATTCCATAACTCTTTAAGATTAAATCTTCAAGAATCACCAAAAACCAACTTATTCACATGAGCTACAAATGTCACATTCCTGATTTAAGACAATTCTCAAAGGGGGATAATTTCAGAGATGTCTTTCCTGATCTAAAGATGAAAAAGGCCTTTTATTTGCATTTTATTTGTAAATGAGACCTGTGATTGGCTAAGACCCTGTTTTGAATGTTGTGTAGCTCAACACTAACCTAATAATCCTTGAAGAAGCCAACAGCCTGGAATATATTTCAGCAAACTGATGTTTCTGCTTTAACCTTTGTAAAATTTGCATTTTCTGTAAAACTGAATCTTGAATTTTCAACAGCTGTGCAGTATGCCTGTCAAAATTCGTAAACACAAACGCCTGAAATGAATCGCTCTGCGTAAAAAGATTCTGTATCATAATGAGGTTTCACTTTTTTAATGAAAGGACTAAAATAAATGAACTTTTGTTAAGGTTGTAAAGTTGTGGTTATTGTGTTGATTAGCTGGTAAAATGATTACTGAAGGACAGGGTAACAAATATTTATATATTTGAAGCCTTTCACCACAGCATCTGTTTCCTCTCCTGCAGCCGAACGAAGGACCGCCACTCCCCACTGATCCCTGTCACCATGCCAACATTTACAATCCTCAGAGCAAACAGGAGTCCCCTGAGAAACTGCTGAGTTTATCAGAGTATAAAAGCTTCCTTCTTACTCTGTGGGGGAGACGGGGATGCAGGTAGGTTGGCTGAGGAAGCAGATAAATTACGATGGGGATGTGGTCTGATGAAATCATCTTTTTTTGCAGAGATGGTTCTCCGCTGGGATCTCCTTCTGCTTTCTACCTTCCTGTTGAAGGCTGGTCCGGTTATCGGATGTGTTTGTCCACCAGCAACGATTTTATCCCAGTTTCCCTCTGAAGGTTTGGCATCTTCCTGCTGCTTGAACTTCTCTGGCTCTGCACTCAGTCATGCACACTGGTCTGTGTTCACCAATGGGACCAAAGCACAGATTCTGGATCTCTCCAACTGTAACATCAGCTTTATTTATGTTAGTGATAAACAAGCTTCTGAACTGCAGAGGGTTTACTTAGGTCGGAACAGACTGAGAGCGTTACCAAAGCAGTTCCTGGCAGGGCAGCCCAGTCTGATTGAGGTGGATCTGAGTGAGAACCTCCTGGAGGAGCTCCCCAAAGACTTTCTCCAGGATTCTGATTATCTCCAGAGGCTGGATCTGCGGGGGAACCAGCTACGTTCCCTCCCCGGTGATTTATTGCAGATACGCAGTCTTGAAAGACTAGAGCTGGATGAGAACCTCTGGGAATGCTCCTGTTTGTTCCTGGAGGTGTTGGAGGCAGGCCAGCAGGCTAACAGGACCACCAGGCTGGAGGATCTTGTGGGAAACGTGACATGCTCCTCTCCTGAACACCTGGCTGGGAGGACAGTGTGGTCTCTGATGATCAGTGACATCTGCCGCCCAGCCGGCCTTACAGCACTCTTCATCGTGCTCCCCCTGCTTATCCTCTCTGCCTTGCTGCTCTGCTGGTGCTGCGGGAGGAAGAGGAAGAAAAAGGAAACACCTGCTTTCAGCTCTTCCAAGAAGAGGGCTCCCAGCTTTGGTTACAACAACCATAAACAGCCCAACAAACCGCAGCCTCCAGGGGCCGAGCAGGGAGGAGCTGCTGACTCCGGCAGAGAGGGAATCCTGAAGAACCAGCTGCTGCTGCGGCCGGCCTCGGCTCTCCTGGGCAGCACTCGGGACATCTACGAAGAGGTGGAGATCAAGCTCAGCTCTGTGGAGTCTCTTCCCCCAGCGTCCTGCTCCAGCTCTGCAGAGGGGAATCAGGGCTCCCAGGAGCCCAACGGGGCCAACAAGACAGAGCTGGACACGGTCAGTGTGACAGAGGTGATGAAAGACTCGGCTGACAGGGAGAAGGCTTATCTGACTCAGTCCACTGAGTACTACAGCCTGGTGCCGGGTATAGAGCTGGAGGACTCGGACCACGGGGAATATGAGAACGTAAATCTGTCCTGACATAAAGTTAAACACCTTAAAGACATATGCTCAAGTTTACATACAGACTCTCAATGTCGGGCATGAATGTCATTGATTGAAACACATTCACACACCTCTATCTTAACTTATACTTGGAAACCATATGTAGAAATCGATAAACACACTTGATTTATGATATGTTGCTTAGTTTCTCGGAGCAGAAATGAGTGTCAGCAGTCCTGACTCATTATATGATAAGCCTTTGATTCATAAGACAGATTTATACTATGTAATTGTTTTGTTTGTTTATTTTAATTTGTGTTTTTAAACTTGTTGACAGCATGTAATATCTTTAAAACAGTCCAGATGAGATCAATCCATAGCTTATTGTTTTCTGCTTCATTGGCACATGTTTTTAATAATTAAAACCTTACCTTATCCATGATTGCTAAAGTTTATTTCCTTAGTTTATTCAACAGAAAATAACACAAAAACTACATATATTGATATAGTGCAACTTAAAATAAAAATAATAAATGATTGTTTTTGTTTTTTACAACTGAACCCAAAATGGTGATGGAAACACAGTGCTGCTCAGATGTTTAAAGTTTATATTTAGCTGTGCTTAAATAACTGGGAACCATGTTGTGTTGTACTTAAATAAAATGCCATAAACAAATCTTTCATTAGCTTTAAACAGACATTATGTAATTTTTTACTGAAAAGTATCTTTTAAATAGTCTTTTTATTTGACCCTTTATGACTAAAATGTAACTGGATGAGCATTCCGACACCACAGTAGTTCTGTTACTCTATAAAGCCTTGAACTCAACACTATGTCTGACATTTTGATTTGAATAAGCTTCCTGGATGGGAAGCGAAAGGTCTTCAAACTTGGAAACAAGGTCCAGTGGATTGTTTGTTAACGTTTTTGGAAAGCCTGTAGCCTAATTTTTTTCAATTACTTTTGCTGAGTTCAAATTCAGCGTCTTCGTCCTCCAAGGGACACATTTTTCGGCCAATTATCTTGAGGTCTGTTCAGATTGGAAGACTCTTTGTGATCCGGCCGACAAATGCATCCTTCTTTTTGCCCGTTTTAAAGGACAGCTCCAGTGTAGCTATACGTAGCCTTGTGTATCGGGTGATTCACTGCGAGTCCAAGCAAGGCGGCATCTCTGAAATTAATGAAAAGAGTTGTTTCAAACAAGTTAAATATGTGGCGGGTAATGTTTGATTTATTGAAAGATTTTATGTGTCCCTGTGGAAATGCGTTTGGCTGACATTTAGGCACAGATTCTCTTATTTGTAAGAATTTTGCCTGCTTTGTGTGTCAACACACACAAAGCAGGCAAAATTCTTACAAATAATAGATAATGCCATGGTTGCTAGATGAAAGAGCATACGGGCCAGAGAAGGCTGGAGGTGTTTGAATCCATAGCCAAACTCTTCCGGCCTTATTTTCACGGACTTCTAAGAACCCGGTCCAGATAGAAATTGAACACACCCTTTGATTCAGAAGTTCCCACTATGTTAGCTGGATGTGACGTCAAGCATATCAATGTTAAATGGGTCCAATCTACCAAACAATTGAAGCTCAACTCAGACACCAATTGCAACTCCAGGTAAGCTGAAAAAGGTAAAAAAAACCTCTTATTTTAACTATACACCAACAAAAATGAAACAGAATGTGTTTCTATAACAAAAAGTCTTCCAAAAACAGCATGTTTTTCTATGATTTACACGCTCAGCTATAAAGGTCTGAGTCCTATTTAGCATTTTTTACAAGCTTAAAAGAACTTTCTCTTCTCACAACAAATAAGAGGCGTTAGAAGAGAAGTTAGAGGAAATGCTGCCTGTAGTCAGCATTTACGTTACTTACTGTAGCTTTCAGCTGGAAACCGGTGTGCCTAGCCTTATGCGAACAGTTCCTTAAATAAACACTATCGCAGGAATGGGACTCCAGGGAGAGTCACTCCTGTTGCATTACTGACATTTGATCTCAACAATGACTATAAAACTACAAGCTTAATTTATTTATTTTTGTTAGAAAGTCTAAATTTACTCCTATTTCTAATATTTGCAAATTACTTAACTGAGATTTTTCTGTTCCAGAAAGTATATCTTTAGCCATTCCCTAAAAGTTTTTTATCTTGTGTTTATTATTCAATAAACACAATAAAAAAAAGTACTTTTAATGTACCGTATTTGTAAATTTTAAGTTACCATAAATAATTTTTTTCAATGGAATAAAAGTTTTTTAAAAAGCCTTCTAGGATAGTCGTGGATGTTTAGCCCAGTAATTGTTTGTAATGTGGGATAGATATGGATGTTTTCCCAGAGGGACAGGGAGTATGGCCATTAGATAAAAATCTAAATCGTTTGGTACTTGTATCTTGTTAGTTTTGCCTTACTCTTCTGTAGGAGGCTGTGCTTGTTTATTCTACAGTATATGATGTGTGCAGGACTGAAATATTTTTCTTGCCAGGACATTTTATGCAGTTTCTTGACACACCATTCAGGCAAGACCCATCAGTGGCTGAGTCTCCTGTCAATTTGATTTGCAGCAAACGTCCAGTGGCATTCAAACACTTCAGAAAAAAAACAAATTTTGTTCATGCTTGTGGTATTTTCTCCAGTAAAGAGTTAGTCGGAGTTCCTAAAGGTGATGCCAGACAAAACTGAGCTGAATCTCCTCCAGCACACAAAGCTCAAGGTCTTAATACTCTGACGATGGGGGAAAGCGAGAGAGAATATCTCATAAACGTCCATATACATCTTTAACAATCAGGTCTATAGTCCACCCATGATGATGAGGAAAACATAACAAATACTGTTAGTAGTTAAAACAAAATCAACCCTTAGGTTAAACAACTTTGTAACCCTTTGTATAGATTAATATTTTAATTAGATTCATTAAATGTGTTGTTGACAGATCTGTTGATTGTAATGTTTTGGTAATTAATCCAAAACTCCAAAACCTGCATTATTTCAGGTGAAATAAAGAGGAATCTTCTTGTTTCTGTACTGTCTTAGTTAAAAGCTTTAACTGGCTGTCTTTGGATGCAAAAATCATTGAGAGAGAGAGAGAGAGTCTGAGGGCGTAACCCAAAACAGAGTGTAGTCCAAATCCCTCGCCAAAGTATCACAATGTAGGAGGAAGTGATTTAATCTGGATCTTTTCCTGTGGGATATAAAGAACGCAGCCATCGCTGAAGGGGACTGAAAAACGGGCAGAAAAAAGCTTAAACTTCATAATGGATGCTTTAACATTGAAAATGTAATAACAAATTATTTAAAAATCGTTTTCATATTTTGCCACAGAACACCTGAAACCTTTGATATATGTTACAGACAAACAGAAAGAAATTGATATTTTTGAACTGGAAGTCAAATGATGCATAGTTTGTTTAAGCCTTTTTTTTTTTTTGCTACAATGTATGAAGTTTCATTTGTATACGATGTAAATATCAGCTAGAATAAAACCTAGAAATTCCTTTAACCGGTAATTGAATTTACAAGAGCAAGGGTTCAGAGATTATAAATACCTTTCAAGGACTGTAGGTGCATTTATTAATATTTATTATGATTTTAATTTAGGATAATAAGACAATGGTGATTTAACTGATTGATGCTTTTATGTCTGTGATGGATTATTGTGAGATTTGGATACTGTTTGCTGTGGAGCTCTAAGGCTAATGTCAGTTTAAATTTTTTCTGTGTGTCTTAAGTCATCTTCTTAAATTTGTTAACAAGTAATACCTTTAAAACAGTCCAGCAGAGATAAATGACTGGGAAATGCGTTCTGTTTTTTCTTTTACCTGTAAGTCCATACTAACAACCTATTTGTTGTGTTTTAAAACTGAAACAGCCACCAATGGTCGTTCTTTTAATGGTGAAATCTTGCTTTTACTCTCAATGCTTAAAGCCTAAAATGAACTAAGAGATTTACAATGTTTTATTCTATCTGTCCTGTTCATAGCCTTTATAGGGAGGATTTCTAAGCCCAGCAGAGGTCTGCAGGGGTCTGGGGACCAGAGAATTTGGAATCTGCTCTGGTTTGGGCTGTGTTGATTCTGCAGCTGAGTATGAAAAGGTGGTTTGTCCGCTTCAGGTTGGAGGAGAGTTCTTACCTCAAGTATCTTAAGGTCGTCTTTACAAGTGAGCGGGGAATGAAGATGCAGATCAATAGATTATGGTGAAGACAGAGCTTAAGTCTCAGTCTATATTCATATCCTCACCTTTGGTCATAAAATTTGGATCATGACCTAAAGATAGGATGAGGAGCTCAGCCAACTGGGAGAAGCTCTTCCTCTCCCGGGTCGGTCCAGGACTACGTCTCTCAGCTGGTCCTGGAGCTTGCTGGGCTTCCCCAAGAGGAGCTGGAGGAGGTGTCTGAGGAGGGGAAGTCTGAGAGTCTGTGCTGAGAATCACAGTCTGTCCTGGATCCTGCACAGCATGATGAGTAGGAGAAATACACTTGCATAAAACCAGTTAAAGAATTTAAAATTAAAAGTATTGCTACAAAGAAATTGCTGGGATTGTTTTAAATACCTGGAAAAAGAATCATTTGGATGTTATTGAAGGATGCTTATGATGTGTGCCGTTGCTGGTAACAACCATGATTATCTTGTAAATGGTTTATGATAGTTTCACCAATTGGCTAAGTTAATAACAAACTTATGTTTATTATAAAAATAATAGTAATTTCTTACTAATGCTGAGCAATCAGAAATGTAACTGCTAAACATTTTGTACTTTCTTGGACAGACAACTGTGCTGAAAAGGCAAGAGATACCTGGACCTAAGTGCTTGTGATTGTGGTTTCAGATCCAAATCTTTTCTAAGAGCTGCTTGAGCAGCTGAAGAGCACACCTGCCTCACAATAGACAGGGCCGAACATCGAGGTCACTGTAAAGGTTCACAACACAGACGCTCAATTGTTATCTGTAATGTGGAAAACAGGGTACCGGCTCACTCTCACATTCACACTGCTACAAGCTAATTGGCTCTTTCAGTAGGAGACGGTGCAGCGAGGGTGTGGAACTTCCTGGAATTCAAAGAGCTGAGGAAGATTTTCCAAAGGCGTTTTTTCACATATTT